TTCTTTCTTTTTATTTTTTATTTTTTGTCTCTTTTTTTTGTGTCCGGCAACGGATTGCAACCCTCAGTGTCGCGCCCATACCGGACCGGGGACCGGCAACGGGATTGCAACCCTCGGTGTTGCGCCCGCACTTCGCTCAGCCAGTGAGCAGGAACCGGTCTGTATGTGGGATCCGAACCCTCAGCGGGAGCACCTCCGCGCTCCCAAGCAGCGCACTGTAGCAGTGCGCCACCGGGCCGGCCCTCTTAGATTTATTTCTAAATTATATGATGCGATATTATGATAGTCTTTTTAAAAAATTTTTTGGTGTAAATTGCCTAGTTGTAAAACAGACAGCAGGGCTGGCCCGTGGCTCACTCGGGAGAGTGTGGTGCTGACAACACCAAGTCAGGGGTGAAGATCCCCTCACTGCTGGTCATCTTTAAAAAAAAAGAAAAAACAGACGTATAACCAGGGATGCGTATAATGATCCGCTACTGTTACTTAAACATTTGATGACCACTGTTTTCTTGTGTGTTTAAATAGTTTTGAGAATATTATGGACTGCAGTAAGAACGCTTTGTTAGATGGGTGCACCGTTCTTTGCTGTTCATTAAATTGAGGTATAATTAACATATAGTGAAATAACAGAGCTTAAGTTTTCATACAGTTCTGTGAGTTGTGACAAATTCGTGTACCTCGGGGTCCTGCATCCCTGTCAGCTTAGGGGACGCTCCTGCCACCTCGGAAGATCCCTCTTGCTTACTCACCCCTCCTGCATTCCAGGGAAGCCTCTTCCCACTGTAGATGAGTTTTGGCTGTTGTAGAACTTCACACAAATGGAGTTAAATGATATACGCTTTCTGTGCCCAGCTGCCTTCGTGGACTGCGCCGTGTGTGAAGTCCATCTGTATCGTTGCAGGTGTCAGTGGCTTGTTCCTTTTTATTGCCGAGTGGCGTTCCTGTCTATGAATACCCCGCGTTTTAAAAAATTGTAAGTCAATGGGCATTTGGATTGTTTCCAGTTTTTGGTTATAAAGAGTATAGTTACATACATATGTTTTTATTTCTTTTGGATAAATACTGAGAAGTGGAATTGCTGGGTGAACTCGCACCTCTGTGAAAAGCTGCCAGACTGATGTTTAAAGAGGCTACGTGGTTTCACGCACACACTGCGGCGGCGTGTGAGAGACCCAGTTGCCTTGCACGCTCCCCGGCGCTGGGTTTTGTCAATCTTATTAATTTAAGCCAATCTAGCGGCATGTAGTGATCTTAGTTAGTTAGTTATTTAGGCAACTGGTTGGTTCGGGGATATCAGCCCTTGACCTTGGTGTTCTAACATTGCACTCTAACCACCTGAGCTGACCGGCCAGCCCTTTTTTTTTAGTTCCAATTTGCATTTTTCTTATGACTAATTATGTTGAGCACCCTTCATGTGCTTATTGGATATTTGTATTTGTGTGTGCGTGTGTGTGTGAGTGTGTGAGGTGTCTATTCAAGTCTTGCCTGTTTTTTAAATTTTGGGTTTGTCTTATATTGAAATAGCAGTTCTTTATATATTCTGGATACAAACCCTTTGTTGTAAATGTGTGTTACAAATGTTTTTCTCAGTGTGTAGGTTACATTGATGATGTGTGCTGTGTGTCCTCTAAGAAATATGCCTGCCCTGAGGTTAAAAACATTCTTTTGTGTTTCTCGGAGCAATTTTAGCATCATCAACACCCACATCTAGGTGTATAGTCCATCTTGGATTGGTCTTGTGTGTGGCAGGAGGTGATAGTTACGTTCTCTTTGTTCCCTTTAAATAAATGTTGTTCAGGTGCTGTTTGGCGAAGAGATTTTCTCTACTTCTTTGAGTTGTGCTGGCACACCTGCTGAAAATAATTCAACAGTATGTGTGGGTCTGTTTCTGGATTCTAATCCGTCCCATTGGCCTATGTGTCTGTCTTTCTTGCCAGTTCCACACTGTCTTGATTACTGGAGTAAGTCTTCAAGTTGGGCAGGATAAACCCTCCAACTTTGTTCTTTATTTTTGAGATCATTTCATCTATTCTTGGTCATTTGTCTTTCCAAATTAATTTTTTGTTTGTTTTTTCGGTAGCTGGCTGGTACAGGGATCGAACCTTGGACCCTGGTGGTTATCGGCACCACACTCTAACCAGCTAAGTGGACCAGCCAACCCCCAAATTAATTTTTAAATCCATCTTGCCAATTTCTACAAGAAAGCCTGCTGTAATTTTGATTGTGTTTGCACTGAATCTGTAGACGAGTTTGGGGAGCAGTGACATATTAACAATGTCGGGTCTTCCAGACAGACCCTGAATGTGATATGTCTCTCCTGTCCTTCAGATCTTTCAGTTTTTCTAGCAATGTTCTGACGTTTTCATTGGAGAGATTCTACACATCTTTCATTCAATTTATCGTTAAGTATTTTACATTTTGCCAGGTTGTTGTAATGACATCTTAAAAGTTTCATTTTCTAAATGTTAGTTGACAGGAAATGGAAACACAATTGATTTTTGCCTATGACTTAGTAGCCTATGACACGCTAAATTCACACATCCATCCTAGCAAAGTGACGGTGTGCAGCTCACGCCTCTCTTCTCTGGCAAAGGAGAGGTCCCGGGTCTGAAGCCTGCGGCCTTCAGTATGGAGAGCTTAGCGCAGCTCTGGGGTGATGCTGGCTCTGCAGACGCTCTGGGGTTGGTGTTCCAGTTCTTAGGGCTCAATGCAAGGGGGAGGGACGCACTGTGACAGCACAAGGCTGGGCCCGTGTTGGAAACTCCAGGCTGGGCCTGTGCCACTCTCCCCAGGGGTTGACGAGGGTGTCCTTGTGACACCAGCTCCTTTACTGAGGATGATGAGTCTGCCGATTGAAAGACGTCCCATGAAAACGATCCTGTGTTCTGTGTGGTACCAGCAAGATTCTACTAGTGAGAAAAAGACCTTCACCTTCCAGGAGTTACTGAAACACACAACGACATGGACAGATGTCATGAGTGTCAGGACAGGAGAAGCACACAGCACATGAATCCTTCTACATAAAGCTCTAGGACAGGCACAGATAATCCCCAGTGACACAAGTCAGGTCAGCAGTGATCTGGGGCTGGGGGCAGGGAAGACTGACTGAGTTGGGGCCCAGAAGAACTTTCTGGGGGTAATGGAAATGCTCATATTTTGATGGTGGTGTTGGTTACACGGATGTAAACCTCGGTCAGAACTTATCACATTCTAAGTGACTGCGTTTTATTGTGTCAATTATACCACAATAAAGTTGATTTTTAGGAATATGAATGATAAACCTAACGATTTTCTTTCAGCCTCGATTAAAATGAAAAGAAACAACCCATAAAGAGACGTGATGGGAAGACTTGAGAGGGAGACTTTATTGGCAAAATAACCTTGAGAATTCAAAGTGCTGGGTTACTTATTACTTTCCTCCAAGATAAGCGACAGGGACTGCAGGAAGGGGCTCCCGGTGCCCTCAGGAGAACCAGGAACAGGAGCCCGCGGGGCAAAGGGCTGCTTCATATCTACACGCATTTCTGCCCTGACTGCATTGAAAGGGGCAAAAGACTCTCTGAGGTAGTTCCTGGGCTGTTGAGTTTAGTTTAAATTTCCTCCTGGCCAGATAAGCTTGTGGGACATCTATAAAATAATATTTATTGTGGAAAATAGGATCAGAGCTCTTAGGATGTAACTCATCAGTGCACAAACTTCCGTTTGTCAGAAATGCCAGAGCCCTGCCTGGCATGCTGCTCTGGGGCTGCAGGTGCAAACACCACACACGCAGGACGCAGCCCAGCACAATGCGAGCCTTGCTTGCTTTGATGCTTAGGAGCGTTCCCATTTTCCTTCATGTTTAGTTCATTGCTGAGCAGTTAATTCTTAGGAAGTTCTTCTGTGCAAATCTAAAAAACCTGGAGTGTTGAGTGTATTCTCAGCAGAGAACAGGCAGACAGTGGCTTGCGTGGCTGGGAATTTCGGCAGCAACTTCAGTGACACCATGGCCAGGATGTTGATGCCACCAGGGGAGGCACAGACTGCTACCCACTCACTACCCCTCCCCCAAATCCGTAGCCCTTCTTCCTCTATAACCCTGTTCTGAGCTGGGCACATAGCATAGAACAAAGACTACATTTCCCAGCTTCCCTCGCAGTAAGGTTGGTCATGTGACTAAGTGAGTTGCAGCCAATGGGATGTAAGCAGATGTGGCAAGACCGACTTCTAGGAAGCGGCCTTGAAAGAGAGGGCCCAACCCTCTTTCCTGCTGGTTGGAATGGAGACTTGATGGCTGGCTCTGGGCTGCCGTCTTGAGCCATATGAATGAGAGGCCCCCCATGTAGCCCGAGAAGCCTGGACCTTAGTGCCACATACTCGTTCGAGCCCTGGACCACCTGCCTGAACTTCTCTGGGAGTGAGACATACACTTCTGTCTTATTGACACCACTGCTGGCTGCTGTTTTGAATCTTGTCATATCTCTTTGGAAAGTTTATGGGATATTGTGGACTTGGTTCCCTTTCTTGTCCACAGGGACACCAGATGGCACGGGGTACCTAGCAAAGAGGCTTACAGACCCGCAGAGATGGGTTTTATCCTCCTCTGGATAAACCAGGTCTCCAGGCTCCATCTCTGAGTGGGCAAGAGTTTGGACAGAGAGAGAAGTTCTTTTCTTGCACATGTCTGGCGCGGCCACTTCCACAGGAGTGGGATGGGGTGGGGTGACGGCAGGAAGAGCCTGCAGTTCCTGTCCCAGCCACCACGGGGCCATCAGAGCCTTGCTCGCCCCGGCCCCCTCTGCCGAGGCTCTAGGCTCCTTGGGGCGATGGAGTAGCGCTCTATGACCCGTCCTGAGGGATGTGGTCTGTGTCCTGCTTCCACGTGAAGTGTGACATGCAGTGGTCATGCCCACAGGGCTGGGATGGACACTGCCTCCCGCCGACCCAGAAGGTGCCCCCTTCCCCATCCTATCGAGTGGAGGGCAGCCACCGCCAGTCGCTCTGTGAGGACTGTGAAGGCGTCACTTCTCCAGGCTCCGGTTCGGGGGCGGCTGTGGGGCGCCCACGCCTGCCCCCTCCTCTGACACCCGCCGCAGCTGCGCTGACTCTGCCCCAGGCACCCCGTGCCGGGCGGCCGGGATGTGGGCAGTCCCTGACCCCCGGGTCGTCCGTGCAGCCCGGGCCGCCGTCACCTCTCCGGCACCCTCCCCCAAGCGCAGCCTCGTCTGGTCCATCTGACCACCCCGTGCCCCACACAAATGGCGGCGTTGCAGCGTCAGCCACGAGTGCCCAAGGCCGCGGAGCGACCCCTCCTGAGGCCCCAGTTCACGGCTGCGGCCGGTGCTGCGTGTTCCTCCTTCTTCCAGGACTGTCCCTCCAGGCGCAGGGAAGCCGCCCGCACCACGGCGCGGCCTCGACCCGCCGCTCCGGCCCGCGGGGGTCCCCGGCGGGGAGCGGTGGGGGCAGAGGGGCCTCTGGCGCGA